CCCTCCCATTTAGAGGCAAGTAAAATTTAATTGTAATAGTAAACTTTTGTCTGATATTTATTTTTGTGTTATTATTAAATAATTGTAAGATAAAGTTATAATTATTTTGGTGAACTGACCACACCTCAACATTATTATTAGTATACAATGTTATGTCTCCGATTGCGAAAGCATTTTTGAACGAGCCATGGGGCGTGAGACTTTTGTGCCACGAATTATAATTGGATTTTTGAATTTAAATTCAGTTTATAATATTTTCTTTGTACCTAACAGATTTCATGTATATTATTATTAAAACAATTACATAGATTTTTTTTCAATTTTTATTTTTAAAATATTATTTTGTATGTAATGTGTTGTATGAATTGGAATGAAAAGAATTATTTCAGCGAAGTTCAATATTATAAAACCACGTTATGTAATGCTAAGCTAACAGCTCTTCCTCCTACAAAGCAGAGTAACATACCACAAATCTCTCCCCCTCTTTAGCTGTGTAATTTTATGGACAACTGGTAATATTCAAGTTAACAGCGGAGATAGTGGTGCGCCTATGCACGGCAAGAGAGGTGCATCAACCTGGAACAAGCATGGCAGCACACCGGGAATAAACATGACAATGATTTATTGCTAATCAATGCTAACAATTTTGGAGTTAATTCTTGTTATTTTTTTTGTAAGTAAAATGCGGGCATGAAATAGTTTGATGAGCGCTCAGAACACAAAAGTTTAAATTCAGGTTGTAGCTCATGGAAATCCTCACATCGATTAATTGTTAATTAATTTGGCCCAAATGGCAATTATTGTCACGTATTTTGCGAAAAACTATTTACAACCCGAATTTAACTTTGTGTGGCAGGTTTGACATGTCACTGTTATCGCGCACGCAAAATTGAGCTGATTAATTTGCATTAGTAATCAATATGTCGGTGTATGTCGAGCTACGACACGAATTTAACTTGTGTGCTGGTGCTCAGCCCTTTTTCGCCAGCAAGAGAAGTGACAATTGGCAATTTAATTAAGGCAATATCTATCTGATGCTTTCTGTGAGCTAGAACATAATTTATTAACTTGTGTATGCTGCGACCCAGCTCACACCCGTTTTTGCCATGAACATCCTATGACATTATAAATTGTTGCAATTAGTTCGCAATAAATCATTTGAACATTTTCATTCTGGTGTGGCTGACAACGACTGTTAGCTTGACACACTCCATGATTCAGTAGCCTAACCTTTTTTGTTAGTGTGATTTCGTTTAAAACGGGAATTGTAGAATGTAAACAAAATAATTACTTCAATCAAAATTACTTCACTGTTATCATACTAACAATTTTTGAAAATATTTAATGAACCACATTTAAGATTCTAACTACTGAGAAATTTCTATTTTTTAATTAAGAAGTAATTAAGAAAGTAATTTCTAGCTTTTGTATTTTACATTGGATGTTCAATCTGTGGTATTTGTTAACATGGTATTCAAATTACGTAAAATTTTACAAATATGAAAAAAAAGTGTCCAATTTGTGTGGCATATTTAATACGTTGTATTGATAAGGAGTATTAATTTTTAAAGAATACTTTCCAATTTTTTATAGTTGAAGATGTTGGTGTCCGTGTGAACTAGAAATGGGCCAGAAAGCAAGCTCTGAATAAAGTCTTAAAGTGTAGGCATTTTTTTCTCGCTCTGCATTAATTACCTTCACACTAATAAATATTACGAATACTCCAACGCCATCTGTTCTCGGCTAGTGGCTAATGAAGCAGTAATATTATTGTAATGAGTTCACAGAGGCTAAAGATAATGGTGTTTTTGTTTTCTTTCCTCCATTTATTTTTGTTAATTTTGCTTCTTTGAATTAATTTTTTGTCAAATTTATTTGTGTCATGTCTGTTTATGGAAGAATTATGTCATGTATAAAATTTTCATTTTATTATCAGGAAAGATTAGAAGAATGGCTTGCAATAAGGGGGAAAATTCAGCTTTAGTTACCGTCACTTATGTGCTTTGGTCTGCAAGAATATGTCCATGTTCTTCAGAAATGACAGTAGCAGAGATCCTCGGTTCAGTAATTTAAGAACTGGTGCTAATGAGCCAGAATGATGGCTGAACGCTTGTTTATAATTGAAACACACCTTGGAACCATAGATAGTCAGTTGTCACACGTCTCATGATAAGAATCATGACATATTATATGAGAACAAGTGCACCAAAAGACTCATCAACCCAGGAGCATGAATCTGATTGTTTGATGAGAATTAAACACAGATATGCTATAATGCTATCCTTTTCAGTCCGTGCTTCTTAATGAACTCCTCTAGACAAGTTATGGCATTCGTCAAGTATACTCGATGAAACTAACAAGAGGTGTGTGTTTAAGAGACTGTAGTTCTTTAACTGAAACAGCTGACCTGTAGTTCTTAAATTGGTTGTTCAGACTTTGTGTCTAACATTTACATTTACATTACTTCATTAATACAACTTAAGTTATAATACAATTCAGGTCACTGCTTGTAGAATCTACAGCATCCGACAGGTCATTATAAATTACATGTCC